TCATATATTTATAATCAGTATTTATAATCATTACGCCACATGCCGATAGAGAAAGATTGAATTAAAAATGAAAATAGATATCCATTTTTGATATTTCGATTTCAAATATAAAATACACTACCTGCAATATATTTATACATATGTATATATGTATATTATATATAATTTTATATAATCATTGGAAATTTTTATTATGAAAAATATGATATTATATTGGATTGGGAATATATCATGTTGTGATATTGATATATTTCTATTTAATATCTATTATATTATATTTTATATTGTTTTAATAGTTTTTTTATATTAAAATAGATTTTTATGGATTAGATTAGATTATAATCTAGGGGTAAAATGGAGGGGAAAATGCCACCAGCTTACGTCCTAGTGCAGAAAAATTTGTTATGATTGTCAATATTTTTGAAGTTTTGTTGTGATGACAAACACTTGAAAACTTAGAGTACGCGGAATAGGTCTTATCGATCGTATTTTTCACTGCACTTTCAACACACGTCCATCTATTCACTAATTCAACATATTGTTGATTATCCACTCGAAAACCGCAAGAAATAATTCAATTTACAACATTATGCGAATGAAAATTCAATTGTGAATGAAAAGTTCATTTGCACTTTGCGGTAAGTGGAATACCGATCCGGATGCGGGATAGAGTAATTTTTCCGTTATTCCCGGTGAATTCTAATTTTTCATATCCATCATTATCCGTAATTGCATTCGCCCTTGACACAGTCGCAGAGTAATCGTGTTATAATTCCAGAGTGAACAGATTATTGCTGCTGCTGTCTAAATGAATATTCATTTTGCCGGATTTATTTGAGTCTAGGAGGGATTTCGATCTGGAGATTCCGGTTGCTGTAACGCGACTTGTTGGACGATTTTACTTGACTGACTCGATTTAATAGTGTACACCTCCTGGAAGAATAGACCTTGACTATCTAACCACGTATGTGGTATGAACTTGCTGTATAACTGTAAGTCCGACCACGTGACATCAGAATTGTGGAGATCGTCTCCATCTGCACCGCGAAATTGTTTAACTTCATATTAAACAAGTTTACTAATTGTAAACGTTAGGATTCGATAAATTTTGTAATAAACATGGGGCTGGTCACCGCGAAAAGAAATTAAATAATAAAAATTCCCAGGACCATATGAGATCCAATACTGAGGCAAAATCAAGTGGTTCTCACCGAAAAATAAATAAACAAAAAATTAACAGGAATGATTTTCCATATTTTCCTACAATAAAAATGAAAAAATCCACAAATACATGATATATCATTCATTAATTTGAAATATCTCGAAAATATCCAACACTATATCATATATTTTTTCTAATAACAATTTGATATGAATATTTAAATATATCAAATCCCGTATATTTCGTATTTCGTACATCATTACGTAAAATAAAAAATATATGATAGACCATGATATATTCAATAAGCAGAAATATATCGTAAATATATAATATATATCATGTATTGTTTTTTATGGATAATATGGTGGCGTAAAATAGATTTTCAACGGATATCAAGGCGATGATAAAATATATTGCATATATTAATCATTATATATTATTATATGCTATTATATATAATATATTATTATATACTATTATATATAATATGTTATTATATGCTATTATATATAATATATTATTATATACTATTATATATAATATATTATTATATATTTCATAATATATTGAATCTATTGGATTGCAGTCTGGTACACAATATAGTAGATTGATTATATTTATTTGGTGTGTGGAAGGGAGATAGTCTGTAGATGATGGAGATGAAAGATGTGAAAGTAGTGGAGTGAGGGAGCATGTGCAGCGGTTTGTGCATCGCTGTTGCAGTTGGGGTATCAGGAGAACAGATGAGTCAAGAGGATAGACTTGTACTCGGTGCATTCTAATGCACTGATGCAAGTACTCGGTGTTCAAGTTTTCTGGCGATTCCATCGATGCCTCATCTTTAAGCTGAGCTTTTCCCCGAGGCACTCGCGATAAATATAACCGGCGATATATCGACATGACAAACAAAAATATTTCCCAGTCAAACATCACGGAACAATCCATTCGAATTAGTCTAATGAGATGATATATCAGGTCAAGGACAATTTCAGAATATATTGTAATATATTATTTTAATATATCCGTGTTTATATTGATATATTGATATTGGCAGAATATTTTGGTCTTCTTTCAAATAGAATTTTCATGCAATTTGAAAAACTAATGGTGAATATTAAATATTGATATATTTAATATTTCAATTATTAATTAACGAGTACACTAAACGATTGATGTCTCGTATTGTTTAATAAAATAGTAATATTGATATTATTGACTCTTTTTTCTCTAGAAATTATAATCTTTTGATTGTGGGGTCTTTGAGGGATTTTGAAATTCTCTCATTCATGTCTCGACACAAAATTTTTTGTCTCCC